GGCTATGGAAATGATTAATGATCTTTCTCAAATCGGGGGCGGGGGGTGGGGGGGGCAAAGCAGCGAGGGTCCTTGGCAGGACCACACCCTGGGGCCTGGGCCCTTGCAATTGGTGGGAGAGCAGCCGTCATGTGACTGCCTGGGCTCCCTCCTCCCTGATTCCTTCTGGTCTTCGTTGGAAAGTACCCCTTCTCTTCTGAGAGGAAGTGGCCCTCCCTCAGCATTCCCACCCTACCCTATCTTTGTTGTGCCAGCGGCCATCTCCTTACCTCTCCCCAGCCTGGTCTTCATAGTCTGAGTTGTAGGAAGGAGAGGCAGCCAGGTGTCAGGGAACAGTGCGTGTTTGGCTCATGTGCATGCGAAGCTCCTGATCAGAGCTTTGGCCTGCTGATGCCAGTGCCATTAGCATTCCCACCACCAAGGGTTAAAGCCCAAGAGCCCCACAGCTTCCCTGGGTCCAGGCCCTCATAAAAGCCTTTCCACTTAGCCCCTGGGCTGCTTTCCTCTCCCTGGCTGAAATCTGATAAGAGGCCTCTTTGTTGGGACTGTCAGTCTCCTTTATTGAGGAGGGAGCTAGAGAGCAGTGGCATTTCTTGGGGTTGGGATAGATAAGGCCCTGGATTCCTGTCAGAGGGAGCATGATTAATTACTCTCAGTCCAGGCTCCTGCTTTGATTCAGTGACTGACAGTTCTCAGGCTTCCCTGTCAGGCGTTTACTGCCCTCTGAGAAGCTGGACGGGGCTGAGATTCAGCCTCCTATGAGGCCAACACTAGGGACCTGCAAGGAGCTCTCTCTCTGCCTCCTTCCTGGTTCCAGGCAGGTGTTCTTGCATCTGTTGTGCACAGAGGCCTGCCCCTCTCTCTCGGTGGAGCCTCCTTACTTGTAGGATGTAAGCCAGCCCAGGGAGGCCTTAAACTTTTTAGCTAGTCCTAAACCACCCAGAACCCTGCACAGAAGGTCCCAAACCCTCTATCTCAAGGTCACTTGGCAACATTATTTCATAATTCAGGCAGGCTCCTAAAACCAGGTCACCCTCCTTTTCGTAATAATCACAACTATCAATTTTTAAGTTTTATTCATAATCTCATAGGACTTCCGAACTGAAAGTCATCTAGTCCAAGATCTTCATTTCACAGATGGGGAAACTGAGGCATGAATAGGTCTCTCTCTCTCTCTCTCTCTCTCTCTCTCTCTCACCCATACCCAGTATGATGTATTGTTTTCTTTTTTATTCAGGCAGGTAAAACTGGGAAAAGTCCTCGCCCTCTGTCTTATAGTTGAGGCTCCTTGGCTACCAAGTCCATTAGGCATAGAGCAGACTGCAGAGATAGAACAGCCCTGAGGATCTTGCCTCTCTCAGTTGTCAGGGGAATGAAGCCAGGGTGGGGTTCGTGTCTAGATTATCTGCCTAATGTGAGAAAACCAGACCATCATCCAGAGGTAGCACTTAGAATAGCCTCAGCTTTTTTTTCCTCGCAGTCCCAAGGTATTCCCCTGCCCTGGGAGCTACTTTCAGCTCTTCTGCAGAGGGCGGATACCCTCCCCTCCCCCACTGGTCTCTGCAGCCACGCAGCCACACAGGGCAGGTCTGGGTGGAAGCAGGACTCGGGGTTACCACCAGGGTTCCAGTGTGCCCCTAGCCTGGGTTTTCTCTGTGGAGGTTCTAGGAAGAGGTCACTTTTGGTTAGGCTTACAGCCTTGATTTCCAACACCATTTCGTTCCTTCCTTACCTTCTCAGGCCCTAGCTCTACCTTTTGTTTCCTTTGCCCCTGAGCATTTCTCAGTCTAATGCAATCACACTGTGTGACGGTAAAAAGGTGAATTTTTAATGAAATTTCTACATCTGTAACATTGTTTTTCAAGCAAGTCATCTCAGATGGTTATATATTAAGTCCAATGACTATTCAGAGTGAACTTATAATTCCTCTCTGGGGAATTGGTCTTCAGAGATCAGTTGAGTCACACTAGAAAATCTCTTGGTGTACGGTGAAAACAAAATCAGTATAAGCAGCCTGGTCACTTCATCTTATTCTGCTGGCCTGCCTCCATGCATGACCATTTCTAAAAGTAAAATACACGCTTCACGTTTGATTCACCACCACAAGAGAGACTCAAATGAAAATAGTGCAAACTCTGAAAGCTATTCATGAGCAAAGCTCAAAACCATCATCTTGTTATAGAACTTGGATGCAAAGAGCTTGACCACTCTGGGCCTCATTTCCTTAGTCCATTTAACAATGAACCTGCTCGGGCCTGAGTGGGGAAGGTGACTCCTTTCAGGCTGTCAGCGTTAACACCTAAAGCTAGTGATGGGTCCTGGCAGACACACCACAAGCCTGAGGGAAGTGTGGTTAAGATTCCCAGTTGGGTTACCACGGAGCTGGTTGCTTCAACTCAGTTTTTTTTAAAAATCTGCATGGCAGTTTAGTTTATTGAACACTATGAACTATGAAGCCGTGGTGAAGGAAAAACAATCGCTGCCTTTGGAGAGCTACAGTCGTCCTGGGATACCAGATGAGCGTACATTAAACAATGAGAAAGTAATTATGTGCTGAACATGGAGGGGTTATAACAAATTTTGAAAGAGAAGACATCCATGTGAACTAGGGTAGTTAGAAAATTATTCATGGAGGGAGTGACCATTAATGGCTGGTGTGGAGAGGGTTTGAGCAGGGACAGGTCATTTTAGTCCTGATGAGGAGGGAGAGTACAAAGCAAAAGGTAGAGGAGAAATGAGCTTGGTTTTGGGGGTGATAATGAGGAGACCCCACTAATTGGAGAGTGAGTTGTTGGATGTAGTAGAAATGCTTCATACTTTTATCTGTTACAGAGTGCCAGGGAACTCAGTCATGAGATCAAATATGTGGGCTGGGATGGGTAGGCAGTCAGAGTCTTTGCAGGTTTTTAAAGAAGGAGATGAGCAATATGGTTAAAGTGCAAGTTGAGTGCATGGATAAGAAGCTGCTGCAGGCATCTAATTCTGGGCCAGCAAGGGCCTGGTTCAGCATGGTGGCTGCAAACTGGACAGGAAGACACCTTTGCAGGGTACCTCTGAGGAAGAATCAGTGGCGCTTTCTAACAATCTGTAGGTTAGTCATAGAGGAGAGAAGAGGACTCGGTGCTGCCCCTGAGCTTCCTGCCCAAGACCTCAAAGAATGGTATGTTGTTGGAAGAAGGAAGCAATGGGAAAAAGGAGCTAGCTTAGGGGATAAAGGTGAGCTCAGTGTGAACAGTCTGACTTGGAGTGAACAGGTCACACGTGAAGATGTCCTGGAACCTTCTGGAAATGTGAGCTTAGGGAGCCTCTGTGAGGGGACCTTGGAATGGTCTACCCATCTTCCTAGAGTCTCTAGGTGATGCCATGGAGAGTGTGAACATGCCCAGGCCTTTAGTGTGCTCAGGCAGACAGACCTCCAAAAGGACATGAACCTCAGTCCTGTCTTGCCGGAAACTCATTCTGCTGCATCAGCCTCTCATCTTGTGACAGGAGTAAGGGTGAATGTCCAGAACAGCACAAGGAGGAAAATTAACCAACATTATGAGCTGTGTCTTGGAGTATAACAACAATCCTCTGAGAATTTACCTGTGAGTCTGCGAATCTAACTCTATGGCCCTTTTGTCCTTGACTCTCCAAAGACCCAATTGGTCCAGACAAAGGCCTTGGAGGCCTCCTGCTCCCTCCCCACACTGAGAAAGAGACCATGGTAGTCCAACGTGTTCGTGCTTACTCTGCTTCCTCTTCATAAATGTGGGAGCCTTCGCTCCATTCTCTGGCTTGAATTATCCTACAAGAGAGTTGGTGAGGCCAGCATTCCAGGGCTGGGAATAGAATGCCATTTCTCGAGGGAAAAGAAGCAGGAGGAGCCGAAACAAAGCCCTTCTCTAGTCAGGCTGGTCTAACGTCTACCAGGCGGGCAGTGAGATTGGGACAGCGGGAGGGGCTAAGGGAGGAACAGCCTGTGTACAGTACAGGCAGTTTGCCATTAAAAGGCAACAGGTCTCATACCCTGCCCTGGATGGTGACCCTTCCCTTTGGAATTCTCCCCTCTGACCTCTAGATCATTAATCCAGAGGCTGCCAAATGACAGTCATCCATCACGCCTCCTGATGAACTCCTGAGGAGCGCCTGTGAAAGGCGCTTGTCCCCGCCCTCCCTGCATCCCCTGGTGCTCATTAATGGGCCTTCCTGCTCAGGGCCAGGTTTCCTAGCCACAGCTCTGGCTCCTCTCACTTCCCTTTGGGGCCAGTGTAGGGAAGCTGTTTTGACCCGCCCCTCCCTTTCAAAGGCCAAGGAAGGGGTGGAGTGATTAGTGAGGAGAAAATTGTTGAGTGGCTTCACTGGCTCGCTCTCTCTCTCTCTCTCTCCCTCCCTCCCCCTCCCTCTCTCTCTCTCTCTCTCTCTCTCTCTCTCTCACACACAAACACATACACACACACACACCCTCCCTCTCCCCAAACCTGTGTTTCCTGCAGCCCCTTTGACATGGTGGAGACACAGAACAGAAAAACCCATTTCTCTTCCCCTGCAGCAGCAGAGGAGGAAGAAAGCAATTACTCAGGTAGATGAAACAGGCAGGATCTCCCCTTGTTGAGGGAGTCAGGGAAGGCCGTCTGGAGGAGGGGGCTGACTGGCACATGAGGGCTGCAGAGGAGTGAGTTGCCGCATTAGGAAAGAATCTGGACTCAGTCCTGCTAGGAAAAAAAAAAATTTTAGTCCAACCCTCTTATTTATAGATGGGAAAACAGACCCAGAGAGGCTATGTGTTTTACCCAAGGGCCACACAGCCTGTTGGTTGGACCTATCTTTCTGTTCATCCCAAGAGAGGTGGCAGCTAGTCTGACAGATCTCAGGCTTTGGGAGTTTGAGTTAAATTACATGTCCAAGCAGATTTCTGAACATATTTCTAACTCAGCAAAAGGTGGGCATACACAGATGTCTTTTTTTCCCTCTGCTTGAGGATGACGCAACCCTCTATTTCTCTCTTTGGACGCTAACAGGGACCCCCATCAACCGAATCCCTATCATGGCCAAGCAGATCCTTGACCTGTATATGCTGTATAAGCTGGTGACGGAGAAGGGGGGCCTGGTGGAGATCATCAACAAGAAGATCTGGAGGGAGATCACTAAAGGCCTGAACCTGCCCACATCCATCACCAGTGCTGCCTTCACCCTGAGGACCCAGTGAGTGGCCAGGCCTTGGGGAAACGAGGCAGAGACTGAAGAAGGGGGATGTTTTCTCTTCGGGTTTTTTTTGCGGGGCGGGAGCTGACAGGAGATTGAACCCACAATCCCAGTGTATCAGGACGATGCCCCAGCCACCTGAGCCACCCGGCCGGGCAAAAAGGAGATGTTTTAGGGGAGAGGAAGAAAGAAAATTCCATTATACAGTGAACAAGGTGAGTGGGATTTGAGACAGCCAGGAACTTTCTGAGGTGAACCCCTCACTAGACCAAAGTAATGATGAGAGCCGTTGTTTCCCAAGTGGCCTCTGTGCTGCTACTTCACTATTCTGTTGCCTTCAAACCTCACCATCAACCCTGTAAAGTAGGTGTCATTCCCGTCTTCCAGATTACCAAAACTAAGTATCAGAGGTTAAATTGTTCAGTGAAGGCCATACCAGTTATTAAGTGGTGGAGCTGAGATTCATTCCCACCTGGGCCTTGTCCCTGAAACCTTCACTCCTTCCAGGACACTGTCTCCCACACTACACCTCCACAGTAAGCCTCGCCCTTCTGACCTGACACTCAGCTTGCCCAGCAACATGGGACCCAGGAGAAGGTGGCCAGTCAGGCCCCACTGGAGTCAGTGAATGATTTCTGTCACCATTTGAGTTCTTTTAAAAGTGTGATAGAAATAGTGAGGCTAGGAGCAACATTGGAGAGTGAGGGCCAGAAGAAATTCTTTTCTTTCATAGCACTCTGGAAGTTGCCCTGTGAAAAATATGGAATGACCAACTGACGTGTCAGTTACGTCATGTCCTTGTTGAAAAGTAGAAAGGATTCATCTGTTGGAACTGTTCCAGCAGAAGTGGGGGGGCAGAGCTATAACCAGTATAGCAGTCCTTATCTCAAGGTTCTTGAGGAGAGAATTGCCTCCTGGGACATCTAACACACAATGGGAAAAATTGCCTGTCTGACCAGCCTAACTTGGGATGGTTAGGAGATCAGCAGCCAGATAGTCATGTCACAATATGGATGCAATACCTTGCAGGGCACTAAAAAGCCACCAAAAGGACCATCAAGTATTGGCCTATGTCCCTTATTTCCCTTAGTGATTGACGCCTCCCTTTTGAGCAGTGCTCAGAATTGAGTAGCAGTTAGACGGGCCTGGGCCAGGGTAGTCAGCGGCCCTGGAGTTTTCTCTTCCGTGGGGTGCCCCAAGTTGCGGGCCTCTGTCTTGGAGGCCTGCCTGCAGAGGCTGCTTCCTCAGACCCAGCAACTTAAATGGGGCAGCCTCTGGTGCCATGTTTTGGATTACTTTTTTCCTTCCTTCCTTCTCTCCAGGTACATGAAGTACCTCTATGCCTACGAGTGTGAGAAGAAAGCCTTGAGCTCCCCAGCTGAGCTCCAGGCAGCCATTGATGGCAACAGGCGGGAGGGCCGACGGCCCAGCTACAGCTCCTCCCTCTTTGGCTACTCACCCGCTGCCACTGCTGCCGCCGCCGCCGGGGCCCCTGCCCTTCTCTCTACATCCAAGATCCGCTTCCCCATCCTTGGGCTGGGCTCCAGCAGTGGTACCAGTGCCAGTAGCCCACGGATATCCCCAGCAACTACCCTCAGGAAAGGTCTGCAGGGCCCTAGGGGAGGAGGAAGGAATGGAGCCAAATTTCTGTGTCTAGGACCTGGGCTGGAGGGTGGATTGTGGGTCAGTCTAGCTTTGGTGCCTTTGCCAGGTGATGGAGTCCCAGTGACAACAGTACCTGTGCCAAATCGACTGGCTGTGCCCCTGACTTTGGCAGGCCAGCAGGCTGGCACCCGGATGGCCACGCTGGAACAGCTGCGGGAGCGGCTGGAGTCAGGGGAGCCCCCTGAGAAGAAGGTGTCCAGGCTGTCAGAGGAGGAGCAGCGCCTGGTGCAGCAGGCTTTCCAGCGCAACTTTCTCAGCATGGCACGGCAGCTGCCCATGAAGATTCGGGTCAACGGGCGGGGTGAGTGTGCCAGGCCATGCTGCATTCACGGGCCCATTCACGTCCCTCACGACTGGGCTGGGGCTCCTCCAGCTTTTGACCTCCAGTTCCCCAGAAGAGTCTAGAGGCCGGAAAGCCACATGGGGCTTCAGTGGCCACGGAGATCTCAGTTCACCAAGCTGAAGTTACTTTCTTGGGGACCAGAAATTGCTTCAGGCTATGCTGTATTCTCTAGCAAATAGGAAGAAGCAGTGTTCAAGGAGGAGTCAGAGACTCTCAGGGACAGAAGCTGTGTTCGTCTCCCCCACCAGCCTTTGATCTGTCTACATTAAAGGGCTCAGCCTTGACTCCAGTGCCTGACAGGATGTAGGGGTGTAGGCACGCGCAGGACACATCTGGGAGAAAGTCGGCACCTCTGTTCCTGAGGCTCTGTGAGGGACTAGCTTCCCTCAGACCAGGCTGCCTGTGGCCCTCAGAACAGGCGGGAAGGAGGAAACACAAGCCTGGCAGCATAATTGGCACCCTTTCCCTTCCCCTCCACACTTCCAGGTGCCCCACTTTCATGTCCCCACACACTCCATGTCCCTTGTTCCTCTTCCGTCCCTTTCCTTCCTCACACACATTTTCTTGGCCATTCCTGCCCTTGATGCTGTCCCATAACAAACATGAAATACGTGTGCATAGGAAAGAAACTAGGGGTGGAGGAGCTAGGGGTGCACATTCCCAAGCAGCCCCTCCCTGTCCCGCTCTCCCCTGGGTGAGGAGCAGAAGGGGGCTGGAGGCGATGGCCCAGGTAGCAGGTCTCTGCTCCGTTACCCATCCAAGGCTAGGCGCCCCGGTCCTGCACAAGCCAGAGGCTAACAGGACAAGCGGGTCATCTGAAGGAATTCTTGGCCCTGTGCATGGTGCGCTGGCAGAGGTAAGCTGGGCAGTGGCCTTCCATGAGCCCCAGATGCCCAGGCTGAGATGGAGCATCAGGTGCCGGGCAGGTAGACCCCCTCCTTGAGGATCCCCCAGCCTGGTGCAGGGGAGGAGGAGGCAGGGTGAGGCCTCAGAGGCAGAGCCTGGATCTTCCTGATCTCTGGTTGCTCAGCCGATGGATAGTGGGTGCTCGGTGAAGTTTGCCAAATCTCTTAAAGTGCCAGCACACAGCTGTGAGCCAAGGGCAGCCTCTTGCCAGTGGTGATCCCTTTTTCTTCAAGCAGAGAGAGTTGGGGAGGTGAAGTGGCTTACGGAGAAAACAAGCAGCGGGACATCAGCAAGCTTGGGTCTTTCTGCCAGACCTTATGCTCAGGAGACGGTTATATAGGTGCTTTCTACCAGTGCTTCAGTCTGCTGTGTCCAGAGAGGGGGCATTGGAGAGCCTCAGAAAGGACAACAGAAGTGTCGGAATGGTTGACCAAGCCTGCTGTCTCCCTTGTCCCCAGCAGAAGACAGATCAGAGGCCTCGGCTACAGCGCTGAATCTGACCACAGGCAGCATTGGGAGCATTAACATGTCTGTGGATATCGATGGCACCACCTATGCAGGTGAGGCCCGTGTGTGGCAGCCAGCTGCCAGGCGGCAGCCCAGCCAGCCCCGTTTGTCACCCTCCTGTCTGCATACCTCCCCGGGGTGACTTCCTTTTAGGTGGTCTCAGAGTTCCACAGGTGAACTGGACTAGGCGAGGCTGAGGATTGTTAATATGATGACAGATCACCCTCCACCTTTGACAGAACGATAGAAACCCAAGGGCAAACCCTTCTGGACCAATGGTTGGCTTGCTAATTGAATAAGTCATTTAATGCAAAGTAGTAGTCATTTCTATATTTATGCCTTTGAATACAATTACTTAGAATACAGTTATTTAGAGTACAATTACTTAGAATACAATTCTAAGTAATTGTATCCTAAGTCCACAATTATGGCCTTCTAATGCACTGTCCTCCTTTCTTTGTGCTTCAGCTGTTCTCTTTCTAAACTGCTGTTACTCCTTTTCTTTAAAATGGATCAAGAACAGACACAAAGGGATCTGACTGCTTGTTTGTTACAGTTTTCCCCATCACTTACAGTTGTTTCTCCTTAGTCTGATTTGGCAGTAGTGGTTGGTTGGTTGGTAGGTAGGTAGGTAGACCAAGTAAGTCTACCCAAGGCAGTCAGCTAAGTTTTCATAGTTCTCTTACCGCTCCCATTTTGTGGGTTTAGGACTAACTCTGAGAACAAAGCAAGCTGACTCTTGTCAAGCATAGTTTGATGAGTTGGGGCTAAAATGCCCAGGCATTCTAGCCGGTGGCCCTCTGCCAAGAGCCCCAGCATCAGCCCCTGGTTTTACATAGGGCATGGAGGTGCCCCTTCCATCAAGACTGGGGGAAGTTCCTCAGAGCATGCCTCTGGCCCTTCGAATGCTTATGTGCTAGGGGCGAGGCTCCTTCAGGGTGCACCCTGCAGGCCTCATGCTCTGGATCTCTGCTGGATTACCTGTTGGCATCAGGATCAAGGCCAGGGAAGGGACAGAGTCCCTGGGAGCAGCCTGCAGAAAAGCGGCGATGTTCAGGGCCACATTCAGTCGTCTCTGCCTGACACGGGAGGCCCTTGAGGAGATTGGACCAGCCAGTTGGCAGGGCTTGGGTGCTCTTGGCCTTTTGGTGGTGTCTGGTGGCCTGAAAGGTTTAGGGTTTGGGAGTAGGTCCATGGAGAAGACAGGGAAGGAGGAGATGGGGGCCTGATCTCCACATCCTTTTGTCCTTTATCAGGAGAAAGGACACAATGGCTGCCTCCTCTCTCAGAAGAGAGTTGAAGTCTTCCCAAACCTCACCTGCCTCAATCCCAGTCCCACCTGTGTCCTTTCTCAGTGAGTTTGCAGTCACCTCAGCTAGGAACCTGGAAGTCATTCCTGAGAGCCCCTCACACCCATGCTGGCCCCCCAGAGCTGAGCAGACCCTGCTGCTCTCTGCTCTCTGTCCTCTCCTGCTATCTTCGCCACCGGTGCCCTGGGTCAGGCCTCTCTTCCCCTGTGAGAGTAGCTCCCTTGCCGGCCTCCATCACCCATATTCCTCCCAGCCCCATAGAGAACGTTCTAAAACACATCTTATGAGGTCCCTCCCTTCTTAAAAGTTTGAGGGGCACCCTGGCTGGTGTGGCTCAGTGGGTTGAGCACCAACCTGCAAACCAAAGGGTCGCTGGTTGATTCCCAGGCAGGGCACATGCCTGGGTTGTGGGACCCCCAGTAAGGGGCATGTGAGAGCCAACCACATATTGTTGCTTTTCTCCCTTTCTTTCTCCCACCCTTCCCCTCTGTCTAAAAATAAATAAAATCTTAAGGGAAAAAACAAACAACTTTAGAGGGGCTTCATAACATCTACAGGGTAGAATCCGGGCTTCCTTAGGGGCGTACAGGCCTCCACTATCTTGTCCTCCCATCTGTTCAGCTACATCTGCCTGCATGCTGTAGTCAGACCACAGCACTGTGTGGCCTCCAGCACGTTTGTTGCCTCTTTGCCCTCTGTTGTCTCAGGCTCCCTCTGCCTGGCACACCGCTCCCTTTCTCCGCTTTTTCTAATAGTCCAGGCACAGCCTCCTGCTGGAGCCTTTCCTCTCCAACATTCCCCCTGCCCTCCAAAAGCTTTTTGTTCCCACAACACTCTTCCTCAGAGCATTTGTAACACTTCAGCAAGATTACTGTACCATCCTGTGTGTCCCCCTCACAGCCTCTAAACATCAGGAAGCAGGACAGTGTTTGGGACTTCCGTCCCTCGCAAAGTGTCCAGAGTGGAGCTCTGCACACTTGGGCAGTAACAATCAGTGGAAATGAATGGAACCCGCCTCTTGTCTCTCATCTGCTCACTTTCTTCTCCTCCCCACCCAGGTGTGCTCTTTGCCCAGAAGCCCATGGTCCACCTTATCGCAGGGTCTGCTCCCCAGAGCATCAGCAGCAGCGCCAGCAGCAGCAGCAGCTCTCACTGCTCACCCAGTCCTACCTCATCCCGGGGCACCCCCAGTGCAGAGCCCTCCACCAGCTGGTCCCTCTGAGGGGCAGGACCCAGCTCCTACTCCCCACTCTCCTGTAAAGAGTGAAGGAAGTTGATGCACAAAATTTACCTCATCTCACGGATCCCATGTCAAATACCATTTGGCCAGATGTTGAGAGTTTGGATGTGTCCACCTGTCCAGGCTCCATTCAGGTCCTGCTGTACTCTGGGGACAGGGAGAGGCTAGAGGGCAGGACAGGGCAGCGTTGTCCAATCAGGGATTGTCCTGGGGAAATGGGTGGGGTCTGTGGGCAGCCAGCTTCCTGGGGATTCCCAGGCCACCCCCGATCCGGGGCGCAGTGTATTGACAATCTGTAAGCCAACACAGGGCTGGAAGCCCTCATATCCCTTCCCCTTTAATTTATTTTCCTTGCCCTGCCTTCTGTCATGACCCCAGGGTCACTGTCCCTTCCCCTGCTCAGTTCCCCAGTCTTGACTTCACATGTGGGTCTGCCAGGAGCCAAGAGCATGCCTTTGTAGCCCTTCTCTACTGAACATGAGATGGGGCCATCCTTGTCTCCCATGTTGGTTCCTGGGGTATGGGTCCCTCAAGTTCAAGTCTTGAAGCAATCCTCATGGCCCCTTAGGCCCCTTGTAATGGCCCCAAAAGGTCACATGAAGGGAGTTCTGAGGTCCAGGGCCTATTGGATATCTGCTATAGCACCCATTTATACCCTTTCTGACCCTCTCAGACCTCATGCTGCCCACTCTCCCTTGTTGTCCAGCTCTCCCAAGAACAGCCCGCCTGTCCCTCAACCCCCTTCTTCTCATGGGGCCATCTCAGCCCCAACATCCCCAAACCTGCTGATGTCAGGTTCATTGAAATACCTCAGATTTGTAATTGTTGATGTTTGATTCTTCAGGAAGTATTTCATCTCTGAAGTCTTTTTTAATATGTTTTGCTGACTTTTGTTCTTTTATTTTAAAATTTTTATTGTTATTATAGCACCAAAGAAATGAAAGCAGATCACCCCAAAACCAAACAAATGATTTGGTACCCCAGCCCCTCTGAAAGCCCAGTGAGGAGGCCGGAAGGCAGGCAGGAGAGATGACTCAGGGATCACAGTGGCAGGGAGGAGGTAGAACAGAAGCCCGCTCTCACACAGGCTAGGTCGTAAAACCACCATTTCTGAAGATAGTCCTCTACTCAGTTCCTGTCAGAGCAGGGCTAGTCCCACCTCCTACTGCCCGCTCTCCAGTGAGGGCCAGACGTCTCCCCTTCACTCCACACTCCCACCTCAGGACGGGGAGGCCATGGGGCTTACAGAAGATATGCTACTGAGAGAGCTGCATCTCCTCTTGGACCCGGGGGTGGAGCAGACAGCTCCTGTGTGCTGAGGAAGAGCTGATTCTCACACAGGGCTCACCTCACAGTGTTCAGTAGACACCATCCACCGTGACATTGCCAGGAGCCCATGCTGGCCCGAGCCCACACCCAGCTAACATTCCATAGCATCTAGGAAAGGAAAGGGAATTCCAGAGCTTGAGCATAAAACATGCCTCAGCCTGGTAAGCTGCAGCTCTACTGGACTGTATCTCTCTCTTCCCTCCCCTAGCCTTACACACACACACACACACACACACACACACACACAGCCCATCCACCCGGGGCTGACCCTCTTCTGGCCTCAGAAGCCTTCCCACCTTACCCACCGGGCAAGTGAGGGTGTGAGCAGGGAAGGGCTTCTGGGATCTGGTGCCAGGGAGGAGCCCAGTTGGCTGGCGCTGGGCCCACTTTAGGGTGTCACAGACATTTTGCCAGTGTGTTTTTCTCAGGGGTTTGGTCACAAAGGATGGACTCTTCCCAGCCAGAGGATGCAGGAGCAGCACACTGTTTCTTTCTGGTCATTGGATTCTCTCCCCATGGCAGCTTGCCCAGCCTCCCCGTCTCAGTGAACCCTTGCTGACCTCAGGACAATGTAAGGGCCTCAGCCTGAAAGCCCAAGAGTGGGGGCGCCAGCAGGTATCCCTGGGAGCAGGGCCCTGGGCCAAGAGGAACTTTCCCTGGAAGTGCAGTCCTGAAAGCCACGTGGCAGGCAGCCAGGGCAGCTCCGTCCACTCACCGTCCCTGTCTTCTGTGTTTCCTAACCGGGAAAAGCGGGATAGCACATGGGTAGCCTAGGCAGTGGAGAAATACCTCAGATGCCCTCTTGCAGCAAGTGTCTGTATATGTTGTGGTTATTTTCTATCTTACATGTTCTTGAATGTTTATATTTCAATAAACCTCTACCTCTTCACACAAGTGGGTGGATGTTTTCACTGATTTCCATTGGATAGTACTAGGGGAGAGCTAAAAGCTTTGAAAATAGATAGGACTGAGTGTACTCTTCTGACCCACTGATTTTTCCTGAACCTTTTCCCCTTTGCTACTCACCCTTTCCCAAAGTACACACTCAGCCTGTCTATATCAGCAGGGTACTTATGGTATTGCCTGATCACCAAAACTGACTCCAGTGGCGTCACATCAGTATCCTGGGAGGCACAGGCTCGGGGGCAGCCTCCATTTAGCAAGGCCTTTGTGCACTCCTGCTGAATAAGTGGCCCCTATGCATATGGAGCTCCCAATCTTGTCTGGGAGGTGCACGTGTTTATCTAGACAAACACTAGTTCTTTAGACTATAGCATGACTGGGACAGCACACTGTCCAAGGGCCATTAGATGCTGGGAGAGCTCGCTAGGGGACCTCTGGAAGGCTTCCCAGAGGTGTTGACATTTAAGCTGAAAAGATGAGATTTGCCAACTGGAGACCTGAAGAAGAGCATTCTCAGCAGAACGGATATTGGGTTGGCCAAAAGTTTGTGGGGTTTTTTTGTTTTTTGGGGGTTTTTTTCTGTAAGGTGGCTCTAATAGTGCTTAGTTGTCTAACATAATTTGAAACAGTTTTGTTAGATTGTATTGTGACAGCTGTCACATCAGTGTGCATTTAAAAGAAAACAATTGGTGAATTTTTGTGCAGCCATTTTAATATTGAAGATGGAAGAAAATATGCAACACTTTTTACTTTATGCTTTATTTCAAGAAAGGTAAAAATAACAAATGCAAAAAAGATTGGTGGAGTGTATGGAGAAGGTGCTGTGACTGATCAAATGTGTTAAAGTAATTTGGGAAGTTTTGTGCTGGAGATTTCTCGCTGGACAATGCTCCCCGGTTGGGTAGACCAGGTCAAGTTGATAGAGATCAAATAGAGACATTAACTGAGAACAATCAACATTATACCATGTGGGAGATAGCCAACATACTCAAAATACCCAGATCAATAAAGTTATTGGTGAAAATGAAAAATGTCTTTTATTTTACAGGAAAAAAACAACTTTTTGGCCAACCCAATATATATGGAAACCTGGTGGCATCAAAAGACCTGGTATGCAAGAAGGACCTGGCCAGATCTAGGGCTGCTGGGGTGGGGCAGGGGGGGAGTGGGAAAAAGTGCAGCTGGAGCCAGGGAGGATCCCAAGCTATGGGATTTGGGCTCCATCCTCTTGAGCATGAGGGGATAGCCAGTCTGTTTTTTTTCTGGGTGTGGATACCTGAAACACCTGCAACTTAGGCTTAGACTGAGAGTGCTCAGTCTTTTCCTCTGCCATGGCGCACATTTTATGGGCCCAACCTGGTTTTGGTGAAACAAAAAGAAATGGACAGAGGTAAAGCATTGGGTGAATTTGTAATTGTCTTCCATTCCACACCGTACACCTCACCTGCCTCAGCCCTCTGGTTGCAAAGCAGGGAACCATTTCTGCCATTTTCAAGTGCTAGAAAATGAGGGTGACATTGGGACAATCTTGAGCCTATCTCACTGATTTTTAAAAATCTCTTGAAAGAAATGACATTCTTTAGTAATTTAATTACTGATAACCAACACGTGGCATCACACTTAACAGCTTCCTGTGACACACCAGGGGTCTCCCCCGTGGAGATTCAGTGGGCCTCGTCTAGGAGAGCACTGAGAGATGGAGAAGCAGGGTCTTGAGACATTTGAGAGGGAAACAGAAGAGTGACTGGAGGCAATTCTGAGGGAGACGTGGTAGGTGAGCGAGGCTCCTGATGGAGAATCCAGGGAGAAATAAGGCACCAGACCGTGGCAATCCCATCCCATTTCAGTTTCCACAAGAAAATACAGGAGATTATCTCAGACTGAGAAAAGGGAAGATGTCTCAAACTAGACCCTGCAAAAAAGTTCATCGAAAGATACCATAAAGTAAAAAGACAAACTGGGAGGAGATACTGCAACACAACAAACAAAGGCACAGTGGCCTGAATGAATTCTTTTTAATGCTTACTAAGATAAAGACAAAAAGATCCCTGACTGGTGTAGCTCATGGATAGGGCATGGTCCTGCAAACCAAAATGTCACTGGTTCTACTCCTGGTCAGGGCACATGGTTGGGTTTCAGGCTAAGTCCCTGGATATGGGGCATACAAGAAGCAGCCAATCAATGTTTCGCTCCCTCTCTCCCTCCCTTCCCCCTCTCTGGAAATAAAATCTTTTTTTAAAAAAAAGTGGGGGACAGGGGGCAAAGTTATAAATGTGTGCACAAGAGGATATACAAATAGCTGGACCTCATTCATGATCAGGGATACACACAAATTTAGTCTTAAAATTCCAGATCTTGACGAGGGTAGGGAGCAATGGGAACTCACAAACTGCTCGGAGAGTGTAAATTAGTCAAACCAGTTTGGAAACCATTTTGGCATTACCCAGTCGTATGGAACATGTACCTCCCCTAAGGCCCAGCAATTTTGAATGTGTGCCCCAGGAAACCGGATAGTAACTTTGCTGTGAAACTACCAATTAGCGAACCCTGATGTGTGCCAGGCAGTGTTTTAGTTCTTTGTATGAATTAATTCATTTGACCCTCTGCACACTTATGAGATGGGACTATTATTCTCCCCAGTGTACAGCTAAGGAAATAGGCACAGAAGTTGAGTACACTAGACTGAGGTCCCAGAACTGGGGAGAAGAGCATCAGGGGTTATAATTCATTGACGATGCACAGAGCCAACCACTCTACGCAGTACTTCATTGAGCGCCCCATCCTCAGTCCTGTTAGCGACTTTGTCCATCTTACATGTAAAGAAACTGAAGAGCAGAAATATGCCCCAGGTTACACATCTAGTCAAATGCAGGGCTAGGAAGGGACTCTAACGTAGCTGCAGTGGCCTCTCCCGCCTGTGCCTCCTCCGTCAGGGGCAGGGGCAGCTCAACGTGGTGAGAAGAGGGAAAGGGAGGCTGTCTGGTTGCCCCTGTACCTGCTCCACCTGGCGCCCACACTGCAGTCACCTGCCCGCGGGAGCAGTAACAACCTCTCAACAGTTCTTTTCCTGACTGCGCGCCGTAATTTCCCACCTGATTGGCCAGGTCAGCAACACACCCGAGCACAGCCAATGGGGTGAGGGCAGGGCGAGGGG